AAAAAAGATAACTTTCTCCCATTAGGTGATGTACGGGCCCAATCACACAGGAGGAATTTCTCACTCAAGTGATAGACTGATAAGACTGTTTTCTAGAGCTTCAGATTCATTATAATAAACTATGAAATGGATCTTTGCTATCAGTAACTCAGTTAAGATTGAGATTACATTCTTTTTTTTTTCTCTTATATCTAGGAAAATAAGAAGAAAACTAACTTTCTATTTTATTAATTGAGCACTAAACTAGACATTTAGGGAGACTCTAGGAATGTGAAAGACAGTCCCAGCCATCAGATATTGTGGTATAGTAGAATAGGAAGAATAAATTACAATCATATGGTAGTATAGGCAAATGTTAAAAGAATTCAGAACGGGGTGGAAAGAGAAGAAATAAGGAGATCCTTTCTAAATGAGGTGATTAAAAGAGAGACTTCAATAAGAAGGTGACATTTATGATGAATGTTGAGTAAAGGGTAGTAATTCATTAGTTAGAGGAACAGTGGAAGCCAGCATTTTCATTTGGTGGAATATTCTGAGCAAGGATAGAAAACTACAAGTTGTGATCAGAGACAATACTTGAACAAACCTCCTAGACTAGACCAGAGCACAAGGTGGTAATGGTAGATACAGACAAAAAATTACTTAACAGATTATAGAGGTCCTGGAGTAAGAGCAGACTATTTTGGTCTAAGGGGTCAGCCCACTTTCTCATCATTTTCCAATTTTTTTATACATACATACAATACTTGTTCTGGACCTGGGTTCACTACCACTTATTAGCTGTGTGACATTGGGAAATTCACTTAACTTGATCTTCAGTCTCCTTGTTGGTAAAATGAACCTCATACCGTTGCTGTGACAAGTAACATAAAAACCTATAGAACAATATTTAACATATAGTAAGTAAATATTTTTGTGAAAATTGTGTATGTAAAGTTATATACAATATTGCTCATTTAAAATATGTTATGCTTTTGTGGCAATACTTTGAATATTGTAATCATAATTCTTTAAATTGTATTTTGGGTTTTGAAGGTTTCAAAGATTCTATCACCCTGATGGCAACCTGGAGTATTCACATTCATGTATTCATGTAGTCAAAGCATAATAACCCTCCTCTACTTCCTCCTCTCTGCTCTTCTGTATCTGAGGTGGAAGCCACACTTTAGGCTGTGGTTTGTATAAGTGTTGTTTGATCTTTTGACCTGACTTCAGAAGCCCAGCATGTGACCTTGCTGTCCTGCTCTAAGTTAGTTTCTCATTCTCCTTTGATGGAAGACATCCTAGATGTAAGACGGCAAGTACTCCAGGATCATCATAATCTGCTGCTATATAATTTTTTGCTGTCATTTCAACCTAATGCTCTAATCTAGCCTAAGAGATTTGGTCAGTATTTCTGATCATAACATGCCTGGTGCCTTATTAGTTGTATTTGGTTTCAGTGATACAACCCATGTCTGATAAAATTAGGGAAAGATCATGAGAGCCCAGATTGGAATTTTTGTTTCATTATGTATTAGCTGTGCAACCTTGAACAAATCATTGTCTATCTCAGGACTTTGTTGTGAGATTCAACTGATTCAACTCTAAAAGATTACTGTTTTGCTAACATTGAATTTTAGTTGGAATATGATTATTACAAAGATAAGTAAATATTTTATTTTTGAAATTTTAATGAAAGTTTAATAATTTTATTGATAAGCTTTGAAAAATAGCTGAAACAATTTTATATCATTAGTAATTTTACACTATTATAACTTAAGCAGTTTCTGAATAATATTTCAGAAATATTTGAAACATTAAAATGAGTTATAAATGTTATGACAAAAAAATTAAATCTTTTGGAATAGAAAAATTCTTATCTATTGAAGCACTGTCAACTATATAAAAAGGCTTGGGAAATTTTATTTACTTTGAAATTTTTCTTAACCTTTATAGACACTATTCACTAGCTTTAAAGGGGCAAGTCATATTTTTCTCTTGTTGATTACAGAAGGGCTTATACATTCCCCTGCATGACACTATGGATCATCCCGAAGCTTAGCATGGTATTCACCATTTTGTGGGATATATTGTAGTGAAAAAACATTATCACTAATGAAAAATCCGTTTGACCTGAGTTCTTGTCTCTGACACTTGACAGCTATGTGACCTTGGACAAATTTTTCACTTTCTTACTTAGCTTTCTCATCTCACCCAGCAGAAATGTCTCATCAGTTTCACAAATAGTTGTGATTCTCTTTAATTTTAACTTTAAAACCATTGTAAATCAGCACACTGAGAAGATTGTTTTGATTCATATTGACTGCTAGAGAATTTAGATAAAATTCGACTCACCTCTATTGAATGCAGAGTCTTATAGCATGAACTTTTTGTCTTAACCTCATTACTGGCTTGGTCTCACCTCCTTTATACTTATTTTTCATTAGCTTGTCTTTTATAACGCACATTTAATTACTTTTGTATCATTTTAATCTACAGAATCTGCCTTCTATATTTCCTGGAACAGCATTCAATAAAATAAATGTCTACTTTTCAGAGCTTTTATAATGTTAATAACTCGTGATATAATAGGTAGCCTTAAATTTTTTTTCTTACTGACTCAAAGAACATTGGTTACAGCTACTTTGAGCTGAGAAAAGTTTAAGTAGAATTTTGTTTTAAAAAGAAAATAATAGTGGGTCCCCTAGCTCAGTGGTTAGAGCACTGGTCTTGTAAAGAGAAGATAGTTTCAGAAGAGCAGACTGACCCTTTGCCAGGTATCCAGAAGTTTTCTGTAGTTTATATAAAGATAAATGAGTATATCTGGAAGATTCTTTTCAGCCTTAAGCATGGTAAAATATTCATGTTACTTATCTATGTGAAGGCAACCACGTTAATAACAGTTCCATATACAACCGCTTTATGTTCATGAGGTCTTAGAAATGCGTGAATGGAGTTTTCTGTTGAAGAGATTTTATAGGATAGTTTCTCTGGTTTAAATCATGTATTTAAATGAACTAGATATAGACAATGGAATTAGATATTCATAATTTTTATAATTGTGGTAATGAGTTTCATCTGACAAGCCTTGAATTTGTAAAAGAAAAGCCGTATTTAACTGGTGTACACTGCTCCATGAACTCAGAATTCAAATATGGTCACAGCTAATATATTTGAAATCAATCACTCAAACATCCACCTGCTGTATTAGTGTAAAGTACAGTGCCTTCATCTTGGAATTTCTACTTTCCCCTAAATTATCACAAGAATTTCATGACTTATATAGTCCAAAAGTGTTCATTAGTGGCTTCTATACCCAAGATGTGGTGTGCACATCTGTCTGCGTATGTGAAAAGTCACACTAAAGTCTGTGGAGTCCACCATTGCCACTGCTCCCCCCTGCCACATGGTGGTGGCGGTGGTGGTTAAAAATAGTCTTATCCTGTCCAACAGAAGATGCAGTTTTCAGGACTGACCCAGAGGTCTGTGCAGGCCACCATAGGGCATCAGGGAAGGATAACCTCCCTGTCCCTCTTCCTGTGCTAAGCTGTCCCAAGGTGCCCAGGATTGAGTTTCCAAGATTACAGCTATTAGCACTCGGCTCTTTCAGTGATTGTCACAGATGCTTCTCAGCTGTTGTTCAAAGAGCAACACAAGCATTGCTTCATAGTCTCAGAACCACATTTTCCCTTCTACTATGGGCTTTTATGCCCTTTTTTTTTTTTTTTTTAAGAGAGGAAAGAAAAGCCATTCTTTCTGAAAACCTCTAAGTTATTCAGCCATACTCTAAGCAAGGTTACATCCAAGTAGGAATTCCAGGGGATCTTATTTCCAACCTGTGAGGGAAGGCTACTATTGGTGACTCAGAGATCAACCCTTCTAAGAAATATTTCCCCTGTGATCTCCAGGTTCTTCATACCTACCCCTCTTGGAGGTAGTGATTCCAAAGCAAATGCTTCTCCCTCTTAGTTGAAGAGTGTGTGTGTGTGTGTGTGTCTGTGTGTGTGTGTGTGTGTGTGTGTGTGTGTGGCGGGGTGGGGGCGGGATTGAATTCAGTTTCTGGCAGGACATTCTGCTACACATGTAACCAATCTCAAATGGAAGAGCATGGTGTAGATGATTTATATTGCAAAAGCCTTCATGTTTAAAATGAATAAAAAAGTAGACATGAGCAAGAGAACAAATGTTGAATTTAATAAAGTAAGTGTTGATTGGGTGTGATGGAAATAACAAAATCAACTATTTCAAGTAATGTGAAAGATTTGGAGAGGTTTCAAATGATCAATTATATTAGCAACTCGAGGGTTACTAAAATAGAGATTTTTCCCTTATTGTTCAGGATTTTTATTTATATAAACACTTTCTGCCACACACTCATCCCTTGCCGCCCTCCTCACCCCAACACCAAAAGAAAAGATACAACAGAACTCCAGAACAGGAACATGCAGTACCCAAAGTTGGAAAAAAAGTGTTCTTTCTTTAACACAGTGTTGCAGAAGGAGAATAATCCGTTCTCAGCTCTGCTTACCATTTGCTTCCAGAGTTCATGGCTAAGGCACTACCATGGAAATCCTAAAATGAAAGCCACAATTTAGTATGATTCAGCGAAGACTTTTGCTATTAGGAACTCTAGAGTCAAGAGTCATCCTATTCAAGTAGGGACTCTTTTCTGACCTGGATAATGAGGCTGCTAAGCAAGGAACAGGTCTCTTAGTTATCAGTCCATATTGATGCTCTGGTTGCTTTTACTATACTTGTCTGTTATCGATGTTATAATAGCTAATTTTGAGATTAAGAAAACCTAATGTTTTTTTTCTCCCCTGAAAACAAGTTTCTAGCTTCTTCCAGTGTTTTAATTTTATTATTTTGTGTTTTATACTTGTTTTAAAATACTCTGGATGAAACCCATTCAAAAGAGAGGTGGAGAGAAAAAGATTAATTATATCAGCAAGTTGTGTTTGGGTGGTTCTGCTCCAAGAGAGATGTGTGTGCTCAGTGGTTATTTCTGTGTATTGCAGGCCTTTCGGGAAGACCTGGAATGTCTTATTCAAGAACAGATGAAGAAAGGCCAAAACCCAACGGGATTACTAGCGTTACAGCAGATTGCAGATTACATCATGGCCAGTTCTTTTTCGGGCTTTACTTCACCTCCCCTCAGTATGTCAGTTTGGAAAGTTTAAAAAAATGATAATTTTGTCTCTACTTTCACACTATATATCCCTAGCAACATATTCTGCTCTGGCTCAGTCCTTAAGTTTAAACATCTAATATTTAGAGTAACGGTGTTAGAATCTCTCACTTTTCATGTCAACCAGGCATTCACTAGACTTTGTGAGGATTACAAAATAGTCATTAGATGTGGTCTCTGCCCTAGATAAATGTATAATTTAGTTGAGGACACATACCATGAATGCACAGAAGATTAAAACTGCAAGATAACTATAGAGGAAAATTACAAAGCAGTTCATAAGTAATTGTCCAGTGACCCTTAACAAGTCACCATCCTATGAGTTCAGAGTTGGAATGGATTATTGGCTGAAGTGGACTGAGAAAACTTTAGAGAAAAGAGAGGCCTAAACTGCCCAGCTTTAAAGGAAAGAGTAATTAGAACTTGGTGTTAAAGAGGGGTTAGGACATTATGTTATTAACAGGTTTGTGAAAGCACCAAGTTGGTGAGCTGAACATTCAGGATATCAAGAATTATGGCATTAAATTTAAGCACTTTACATCTCAGTGAGATGCGTGTAGAACTCACTGCAATACCTGGGCAGTTACACAGAGTGCCAGAGGAACTGTCAGGGATGGCACCACATCAGAGTCAGAGGTGGTACATGGTGTCAAAGGGAATGGAGACTGAGCAAAAGTTGAACGTAGCAACTGAGTCATTAGAGATCAACACTAGTTTTTGTTGTTTGGTGAGGACAGGAGCCAGACTACTATTTAAATATATCCTCTTCCATCTTAAATATTTTTGGTTGAATAAAAGTGAAAGGAGATATCTTAAACGTAGCTTTCTGCTGTGATCTTTTCATCATAAAATTAACAGCAACCTCAGTGCTAATAACACTTTCACCAATGGGGTCTTAAGACCATTTTCCCCAGTAATGTGAGCCTAACTTCCTAATAAGCCACTCCCTAACACGTAGATGAAACAGCAAAGAAGATAGCTGATGCATGTTTTTATTCTCAGTGTATTTCTCTGAAGGAAGATAAGCTAATGAAACATTGTGTGGGCTGAGAAGTTTCAGATCATTATGTACAAGGCTGGACACTGAGACTCAGGCTGCTTCCCGGCAACTAATGCCCAGGTAAGGGGTTACTTGACCTGAATCTCTCTCCATGATCTTTCCTCTTCTAGGTCTCGGCATGGTCACACCTATCAATGATCTTCCTGGGGCAGATACATCCTCCTACGTGAAGGGAGAGAAACTTACTCGTTGTAAACTTGCCAGCCTGTACAGACTTGTCGACCTGTTTGGATGGGCACACCTGGCAAACACATACATCTCAGTGAGTTCGTGGGCTTTCTTTTCCTTTGTTTAAAATCCTAACTGGAAGACAACTGTGCTGCTCTCACCTTTACTCAGTAGTCCAGTTTTCTGACTTTATTCTCTAAGCCCAGCTTGCTGGATCACAGTCTAATCTGATTTAAAGGGAGAGGCTGCAATTATCCAACTTCTCCATTTACTATCTGTGGAGGTATTTTAATTCAACCCAGTTGTAGAACTTATACAGGAAGAAATCTTTCTGACAGAATTTTCTCCCTCCGTGTTAATTATACCTGAGCGTAGGGAAGATAGAAGTGGTTAAGGAAGTGTCCTCCCTGGTCTTTATTTTTTAAATATATTTTTCCCACTCATGATCATCTTGTTTTCATGTTGCCATACTTGGTAGCAAGACAATAATTGGAAGCAAAAAAGTATGAAAATATCGTGTAATGGAAATAGCACAGATATGACATGCAATCTTCTTATAACTTCCCTTACTCCCGGCCATTTCTGTTGCCCTTTCCATCTCCACCTGAATTCCTTCCAAGGAAGAGGCTCTGTTCTCCTTCCTTTGCCCATTTTACCTTAATTTCCAAGTTGTAAATAAAGAGTATAGTTATTATCACATGCAATTGAATAATATTGGCATTTGTTATATATGAAGTAGCTGATTTTAGAACCACCAAATTAGGTAAGTTCAGTAAGTGAGAAACTAATGTCAGGATTTTTTAGCAAGTACTTGAGATTTGAGGGAAGAAAATCATTCAGGAAAAATTTCGTGTTGCACATCTTTAATATCTGTATTGTTTGATTTTTTTCTCCCCCAGATCTCTTACACTTATTCGTAGTCAGGTTTATATTGCAAAATGTGAACTCCTCACAGTAATTCCCTATTTTTTTTCTTTCTCCCAGGTAAGAATAAGTAAGGAGCAAGACCACATTATCCTCATTCCCAGAGGCCTGTCTTTTTCTGAAGCCACAGCCTCCAGTTTGGTATAAATTTCATTCCTGTGTTACTTTTTCTGTGCTTCCTTATTTTCTGACAGGTTTTTTAACTTTTAGTGCAGGATGGAACAATAAAAGGTATGGATGGAAAAAACATTTATGAGAGAACAGAGAAAAATTTGGCAAGTTATGTTGACTTGTAAGAAAAGCTTTAGGGTTAAAAAAAAATAAAAATAGGGTAGGTGAAGAGACTAAGAATGAGTTGGTCTTATCAGTTAACCTGTCCATATTTTGAAGGGAATCTTTTCAGGGTTTTTTTCACTCTGCACTCTGAGAATTGTTTTTAAAAATACACTTGCCTGATTGGTATGGCTCAGTAGTTGAGCATTGATCCTGGAGGTCATGGTTCGATTCCGGTCAGGGCACATGCCCAGTTTACAGGCTTGATCCCCAGTAGGGGACATGCAAGAGGCAGATGATTCTCTCTCATTGTTGATGCTTCCATATCTCTCTCCCTCGCCTTCCTCTGTGAAATCAATTAAAAATTTTTTTTCCCAATATATACTAGTATTCACATGATCAATCTGTATTTCATAGATATATTTAAACAAAGCTTATTTGGTATGAAAATCGGGTCTGATCTGGCATTTCAGTTGTCCATGACTGTACTCCTAGCCACAGTCATCGGCTTCCAGAACAGCAGGAACCATATTGGTTCTGGGTGCTGCAGTACTAGCAGATGGAAATTTTCCAGCCAGTTCAGTAAATGCCAGATTTGAGGAACTTAAGTTATTCAGTTTCTTAGGAACTGTATTTCTTGCTAAATACTAAGTTTTGTGGCGGACTACTTGTTTCTGTAAAATTTTATGGGAAGAAAGCCATACCCATTCTTTTGTAGTTGTTCACGCTGCTTTTGTACTACAGCGGCAGACTTGAGTAGTTGCAACAGAGGTCCACAAAGTCTAAAATATTTACTATCTGACTCTTGACAAAAAAGTTTGCCATGCCCATGCTTTAACTTGTAGAACATAGGCAAACTTAAATACATGTGTACCAATTCAATGTCTTTCTGATTTTTCCAGGTGAAAGTCAATATAATAGGAGAAGTGGTTGATCAGGGAAGTACTAACTTGAAAATTGACTATGCAGGATTCAGTCCCCATGCTGCAATCTATTCAACACGTCCGGATGTTAAGTGTGTGATACACATTCATACCCTTGCAACGGCAGCTGTAAGTCACTAAAGGGCCAAAACCAACAATGACGCTAGGAGTATATTATTTTCATGGCTTTCCTTACATGATACTCGATTATCAAATTCTTCCAGACTCCACCATTTAAAATTATATTTGAAATAATCCTCTGCATACCCTTTGGCCTAAATGCTACCATTCTAGGAAACAACTAGAGAGATAGCATTTACATTTTTTAACTTAGTTTAATAATTGGGTCATTGAGTTCTTTGCAGTAACGCTTCTTGCACAATAGTCGACATGGCATTTAAATTGTGTTGTATCCCCTGAGTCTTCTTTTTTTCTGGAAGAAGCAAAAAACTAAAGTAGGAGGTGGGTTGGATGGTGAACGTACTGAATAGGCCAATGTTTCCTGAGCTGGCTAAAGAATCAGGTTCCTATGAAAATGTAATTAGTAACTGAATATGTTATTTTGGCATGGACCCAATCATCTAGGTATCCTCCATGAAATGTGGAATCCTTCCCATTTCTCAAGAGTCCCTGATCCTGGGAGATGTTGCCTATTACGACTATCAAGGGTCACTTGATGAACAGGAGGAGAGAATTCAGCTGCAGAAAGTTCTGGGGCCAAGTTGTAAGGTGTGTAGTAGAGTTTCTGTCTAAGGAGCTATTTTTGTTGCTATTGCTGTTGATGAGAACAGTGTGCACTATGCCAGCTATTTGAAGTGATTGCTTTGGAATTCTATTTTAGGTGCTGGTACTCAGAAATCACGGTGTGGTAGCACTTGGAGAAACAGTTGAGGAGGCTTTTCATTATATTTTTAGTGTGCAGCTAGCCTGTGAGATTCAGGTAGGAATAATTATTCAACACGCCCCATTTATTTATTTATTTATTTATTTGCTTTGTTAATTTGGTTGTGACTTGGGTTTCGTGTTTGTTTATTTCTGAAGTCTTTCTGGTTGGTGATTTCATTTTGTTTTGTCTTTTAAGAGAAGTTATGCTTTACTTCAGTTATCTCTTGAATTAAAAATAGGAGAAAAGAAAATTAAATTCATATATAGACACACACACAAATCTAAGGGCTTCAAAGATTATTTTCCTTTTAATGCTATTTTTTAAGATAATATAATTGCACTTTTCTCAACCTCTAGTGTCATGATGCTAATTGAGACACAAAGGCAGCTACCAACATCAAAGATGTGATGTGTTGTGGCCACTTCTATATCTCTCTATCCCCACTTTTATTATACCATCATAAAGATGGTATAATAAAAGTGGGGATAGAAGTTTTAAGAACTCACACAGTTTCCAACTAGTTCATAGCCTCAACCTCATTGTTGTAATAAAAGGTTGAATATTTATTAAATACCTTTTTTTTTTTTCTCAGAGAAGCTGAATGTATTTAATGGTTCTAATTTCTCTCTTCAAGAAAATCAAGCAGGTTCTCTTGAAGCAAGTAGTACTAGTCTTAATTTATTGGAAGGGCCATAAAAAAGAGGCGGGGCACTTTTTCTAAGACAAACTTAGTTTGTCTTAACCAATTTTTTTTATTTTTGCTTTAATACTTCCTCTGCCTCTCAAATGAAGCTATATAAAGCTTAAATAAATTAAGATAATGAATTGACTCCTTCTGCCTAAGTAGCCTTAAATTCAAAGTATAGTGTCTGTATTCCTTTAAAATTATAATTTTCAGTGAAAGTTTTAACCAGATAGCCATGGTAAAACTGCAAGACAAGAACTTTAAAATTTGGCAGGAGAATTCAGTTTCTTAAGACGAGTTAAATTTAGTAATTTTTTTTTAATCAGGGAGGATCAGAGTCCTGTCAGGTATCTTTTTCAGATAGATGGAAGAGATATTTCAGCTGTCTACTTTCATAAATGTGTTGCCTTATTTTTTATGTTATTTTTTAATTTATGACAAGTATTAGATATTTGCTAGATTGAAAGTGTGCCTATTTAAAAGTAAAATATCTTCATAGCGTTCACATCTTTGCCTGCGTGTGCTTTGCATTGGTTGCAGGTTCGGGCATTAGCAGGGGCAGGCGGAGTAGACAATCTGGTTGTGCTGGATCTTCAGAAGTATAAAGCTTTCACTCACACCATCGCCGGTTCTGGAGGAGGGGGAGTCAACATGGGCTCCCATCAAAAATGGAAGGTTGGCGAGATTGAGTTTGAAGGACTGATGAGGACTCTGGACAATTTGGTAGGTGACAGTGGGACATAAACTTGGATTTCATACCTCCTGATTCAAGAGCAGATGGCTCCATCTCCCTTTTGTTTTGGAACTTGCAAACTCTCCTGGAGGAGGAGAGTTTGACCCTAGGGTGTCATTCGAGTATAACCTTACCATATTTTTAAGAATTAAATAGTGGAATCTGCTAATGTCATCTTACCTTAGGTTATACCCTCTTTTACTAAGGGTCAGAGGCAGATTGCCTTCAGACCCAGAAATAGATTTCAATAAGCACTAGTGATTTGGCCTCTAGAAAACCAGCTCATAGCAAGGAAAAATATTTCTTGTCAGCAGTTTTGAAATTACCTTTGTCAGAAACAGTTGTGTGCTTGGAAATTATATTGTCAGCTGGAGTCAGTTTTGACCATATCTTGAAATTTGCTTAATTTTAACTCTAGTGTTATATGGGGTTTGGAATGGTGTTTTCCTCTTTATTTGTTTTTCAACAAAGGAGTCTTTTTGAATCATTTGTTTAAAGAATTGGGATCCAGATGCTGTGTTTGGTACAGGTCTGATGGCTTCCCATGTGGCTTTTTCCTCCTTAGGGATATAGGACAGGCTACGCATATAGGCATCCTCTTATTCGAGAGAAACCGAGGCACAAGAGTGATGTGGAAATCCCAGCAACGGTGACTGCTTTTTCCTTTGAAGACGATACAGTCCCACTCTCTCCTCTCAAATACATGGCACAGAAACAGCAGCGTGAGAAAACCAGATGGCTGAATTCACCAAATACCTACATGAAAGTGAATGTGCCTGAGGACTCTCGGAATGGGGAAACCAGTCCCCGGACCAAAATCACAGTATGCCACTATTTTACATGGTTTGCCTTTGCTAAATGTTCTGCCTAGCTACTCATGAATTGAATGTTCTATGTCAAAAGATATTGGGAAAGTAGAATACAATGTTAACAATAATTGTATCGCTGTCATTTATCAGGTATTAACTTTGTGCAAGGCACTTTCCTACATGAATTACCTCATGTAGATACTTCTAATATGAGATGATGCTGTTTTTCTACTCCCCTCCCCCCTGGGCTTATAGATGGAAAACTGCATCACAGAGAGGTTTAGTAATCATTTGTAACTGATTTGAATACAGGCAGTCTGACTTTGAATATAGGCAGTTCTTACCATTACATGAAACCGCTTTGTAGTTTGTATTGTAACAGTGAGTCGAACTATAAAAGTTACCAGCGTGCCAGTTTCAGGAATTACTGCACAAAGCTACCCTTATACAGCATCTCATAGATAGAGAAATGGGCTCTCTTATCTTTTTCAGCATTTTGCTTCAGATTTGTTTATGGTTTTAGAGTGACTATCACTGACTATTTCCTAGATATTCAGAATTAGTTCATCCTATTATATGCATCAATAACATTTAAAATGGAAATGCCTCGTCATCAAAGTGTTTTTCCCTAGTCTATAAGATTTCCTATATCCTAGTTAAAGAACATAATTAAACTCATATGTTTCTCAGAATTAACTTTATTGGCAGAGACTGATGCCCCGTCATCATTAATCTTGTTGAATATTTGCCTTTTTAAGGAATGTATTGTGGGGTAAACAAGAATTGTATAAGGTTCTTCAATCCCTGTGGTTCTATTATTCCATAGATTACTACCAAATTACCACCTTTGTAAAATGCTGGTCAGGCCCTTTTCATTTTCTGTCAGCCAAAAATAAAAATTGAAGTCTGGAAAACTAAATCTTAAAAGATTCCTTGAGTCCTTTTTGGTGACTTCTTAGCCATCATCAGTTGAAAATTCAATGCAAGTGACAATTCTCTCTGAATGTGAATTAATGTATGAACAAGCTGTATGTCTATGCTTGAAATATTTCAGCATCATGTTTAAGATGCTAAAAGGCAAAAATTTACATAGCAAAAGTGTGTATTCATGTGAATATTTTACAGTATTTTTAAGTGAATGCTGATTGTGAGCCTTTTTCTAACTAGTGTGAGATACACTAAGTGCTGCTTAGTGAAATTCTTCAGAATATTGGCAGTATATGCACTCCCTCCTTGAATCACTAAACAGAACCTACCGTATTTCCTTAGCAAAAAGCTTCACGCTAGAACTTTTTCTATTCTTTAGTGGATGAAAGCAGAGGACTCTTCTAAATTTAGCAGTGGAACACCTATCAAAATCGAAGATCCAAATCAGTTTGTTCCTTTAAATACAAACCCGAATGACGTACTAGAAAGAAGAAACAAGGTAAGACAGGGTCTCCTCTGCCCAGGAGAGGCATTTTTATGCTGTTTTATGTTTACATCATTAGTGATTGGATCTGATTAATACTAAGCTCGGGGGGTTGAATCCAGAAGAATTTTTAATTTAATTCAGTATATTATAATTTTAGGTTTTACTAAATACTTCCTGCTTTGTTCTAGACACTGGTGGGGAAGAAGCTTTTAAGAGCTGTGGTATTAGTGAAAAATGTACTTTAACAGTATATAACAACAGGAAATCTCATGTCAAGAAGGGTGGAGGAGATTAATGTGAGTGGTTAGGATGGTAAAGGGGGCTTTATGGATGTTAAAGAGGCCTTTTCTCTGGTGTGGTCAGGTAGTAAAGATCATCTGTATAGTTGCCCCCAAGAACTTGTTGCTCTTGTTTTTCAATTTAGATTCGAGAACAAAACCGATATGACCTGAAAACAGCAGGACCACAATCTCAGTTACTTGCTGGAATTGTCATAGATAAGCCTCCATCTGTAAGTCCTTGAAATAGTATGCACTTTGTTTTTCTTCCATCACATTAATGTCTTTGCTTTTTAAACATGAATACTTATTTTTACTAAAGTTAATATAAGTGCAAGTTAAAAATCAAGTAATCCATAAAACTTAAAATGACACCTTCAGCCCAGTCAGCAGGGTCAGTGGTTAAGAGTCAATCTGTGATGACCTCACTCATTTGTGGATAATAAAGAACATTATAAACTGATGAACCAAAAGATAGATATAGAGACAGTATATCAACAAGCAGACTGTCAAATTACAGCGGGGAGGGGAGGAAGATCTGGGGGAGATAATAGATCAACCGAAGGACTTTTATACATGCACATAAGTACAACCAATGGACATAAAACTCTGGGGAGGGAGAGATATAAGGGAGGGGGGGGGCAAAAAAAAAAAATATATATATATTTAAAAAAAAAAAAAAGACTGAAGAAAGGACCTCTTTTCCACTATTTCGAATGCTTAAGAGCTAATTTCATAACATCACATGTACCATTTTAAGAAAGTGATGATTTAGTGGGAAATTAAAGCTTTGCATCTGTATACTGTAAATATAAATGACGATTTGTTTGAAATGTGTAACTTGGATATGCAAAAGATAATAACTCACAATGTTAATATTAAATAAAAAAAAACATTAAAAAAAAATAAAAATAATAAAAGCCAAAAAAAAAAAAAAAAAAAAAAAGAGTCAATCTGTGAACCAGGAAGTCACAGTTGGACTCTGGTCAGGGCACACACTCAGGTTGTGGGCTCAATCCCTATTGGCGGGCATGCAAGAGGCAGCCAGTCAATGATTCTCGCTCATCATTAATGTTTCTCTCTCTCCTTCTTCCTTCCTCTCTGAAATCAATTTTTTTAAATATCGTCTTCATTTTCCAGTTTCCAGGGGCAAGGATTTTCTTCTAGCAGTTACTACCTTCATTTTTCTAAAGAGCACCTTTAGTTTGCTTTCTTAATTTGTCAATTTTAGACTTCAACTTTTTTCTCAAATCTATGTCAACTGTAAGAAGTTACCATTATTTTATGTATTACTAAAAAAGAAACAACCCTGACAGTTATAAAATTAATATAATGTCTAAGTGCATCTGAGAATCAATAAAAGATGATAGTGACTTCTTTTATGGAAGATGGGGATTTAGCCTGTTTACACAATACTTTCCTTTTCCATTCTTCTAGTGAGGTTTATTTGTTAAATCGTCTTTTATTGTTTATATTATTAACCTTTACTGCTGATTCAGATAGTATCCTCTGATTACATTTTCTTTCTTATACAACTTTTCTCCCCTGGTGTTAATAATTACCTTCTTTAATCATTGGCTTAGTATTTTGAGCACACTGGATTAGTTCTTCCCAAACTTTTCAACAAGATTATAGAGTTTCTCTTTATATTATTTTCCATGGAGAAAAGGTAATAGGTAATCTCTTAGTTCCAGACCCTGTCATTCTGGTCCAGATCTGAACTGATGGCTCTTCAGGCCAGCTGCACAGCTCATCATGAGGTTTCCTGTGCATCTTGCCTATGTAGTGTGCCATTTCCTGTATCGTGTGTCTTCAGCTTTCTTGATATACTCCTTTATCACTGAGGACATCTTGCCATAGCTTCCTGAAAAAGGATACATAGGCAGTAACCATCTGAAATCCTGTATTCTATCTTCATGGATATAGAATTTATTTTTTTAAAATATATTTTATTGATTTTTTTACAGAGAGGAAGAGAGAGAAGGATAGAGAGTTAGAAACATCAATGGGAGAGAGTCATCAATCAGCTGCCTCTTGCACACCCCTACTGGGGATGTGTCCGCAACCAAGGTACATGCTCTTGACCGGAATCGAACCTGGGACCTTTCAGTCTGCAGGCAGACGCTCTATCCACTGAGCCAAACCGGTCTCGGCATGGATATAGAATTTAGTTTAGAAATAACTTTTCGCCCAAATATGAAAAGTATCTGTTGTCCCCTAATTCCATGTTACTGTTGAGAAGTATGAGAGTATTGTGATTTCATGTACCTTTGTGTAGTTGCTTTTTTTTTTTTTCTTTTTGGACCTATTTTACATCAATGCTTTTCTGAAATTTTATGATGGTATGCTTTGTAATAGATTTCATTTTAGTCTTTGTTCTTAGCATTTAGTAACCCTTTTTAATCTGGAGAGTTATAGCCTTCCATTTTGGGACCTTTTTAAAGTTTTCTTCAATAATTTTTTTCCCTCCTACTTCTTTCTTTTTCTGTCAGTATGCACTGTTAGTTGAACCTCTGATTTTTTCTTTCCTACTTGCCATCTTTTTATCTTACTTTCTAGAGGGTTTTCTTTGGACTTTATTTTCTAACCCTTCTATTTAATTTTCTGTTTTGATGTGTGTGTGTGTGTATGTTTTAATTTTTAAGACTTATTTCCTGAATGTTTTTTTTTCTTTTTGTTTTTTAAATAACATCCTGTTTTTTTATGGTTGCAGTATTTTCTCTTGTTGCTCTAGGGAATAAATTTTAAATTTTCTTCAGCTTCCCTTATTTTCTTTTATCCTGGCCTCCCTCTCTTGAAGCTTTCCTCGGGTGTCTAGCAGTCTGTGGTAGTCTGTTTATTCTTAAGAATGAGGTACTGAGAGCCAGTCAGAAGCTCTGGTTGTGCAGAGGTTGGGGATGGGGGAGCTTCCCTGCAGGATGATTGGACGTGGATCAGTTTGTTTTTCTGGGAAATTCCCAAATGTGAATGTCTGTTCTTTTATCTGGGGCCACTGATTTATTTGGAGAATTCTTTAGTCTCCTGCCAATCTCCCACCAGTGTTCTGGGAGCCCTCGGCTGTGCTTTGTGTCCCCTATCAGTTGTTCTTAAGTCTAAGCCTCTGATCTTCTGCAGAGATGGGAGAAAGGTAAATGCTTTGTGTATGGAATAGTAAAGGAGACCTGAGAATCTGCTCCCTATTCGGACTTTTAACTTGTCCCACTCTTTACTTTTCTCCACCACCACCTTCTGTGGTACCTGATGCCTCTAGTTTCTGAGCCTTTGTACAGGACAAATGAACATGCTTCTTACATTTTCATTCTTTGCCAGGCTAAGGATCTACTTTCTTAGCTCTGCTACCCACTTTTCCCCCTACTCTCTTTCCAGTTTCTAAAAATGCATTAGCGTTTCTCATCCTCTGTTGTCTCCTCTCTGATTCTTTTCTCCTTAAAAGTTTATATCATGTTTGTTGTTGTTCCTTTACTCATTTTTTGGAGTTTTGGGAAGAATTTTTTTTTTTAAATGCATAGGTTCACCCTGGCTGGTGTTATTCAGTGAGTTGAACATCATCCTTTGCACTGAAATGTTGCTGGTTCAACTCCTGGTTAGGGCACATGCCCAAGTTGCAGCCTTGATCCCTGGTAGGGAGAGTGCAGGAGGCAGCTGATTGATGTTTTGCTCTCATGTCGATGTTTCTCTCTCTCCCTCTCACTTCTCTCTAAAAATCAATACAAATGTATTTTTTAAATGCATGAAAAAATTACATGGGTTCAATCTGCCAGGTAAAAATCTCATTAATTCTTTCCTGGAGCAAAGACAAATTTATTTTCATAGGAAATTTAAAGAAGTTCTTTTGGTATCATTTCATTTTTTTAATACTTTTTTTTACAAAGGCTTTCTAAAATGCAGCAATTTTTGGTTTTTAAGATACTTTGTAGTTATGTGAAGATTAGAACTTAAGCTTAGTTTGTTTTTGTTTTTAACTGACCTATATAGGCTTATTGAGGAAACATCACTGGCAATTTTAGTTCATTGGCTCAGTAGTCTAAAAGCACTAATCTGATATGAGTATTTTAAACAAAGCATGTTGCTCTATCATTTCTTTTTCTTTTTCTTTTTTCTTCTTTTTTTTTTGGTAAGAACTATTTATTAATCTAGACATTAACAAAAGTTTATTTAAAAAATTACTCTATACCAGTGACTGGTAATAGAAAATCTCTGTCTCTGAGAAACAGAGACTGATGGCACAGAATAGAAAGCAAGCATATGAAAAGGCTCTTGATACTTATAATGAAGTTTTTCCTGGTAAGTTTCATAAGTGATATAGATTACAATATGGAGTTTTGTGGCTCACAAGATCTCATCATTCTTTTGAAGTAGGATTTTGCTTTAAATTGGAACCCCATGTAGTCCCTAGCATTGCACCTTGGGCAGAGAACAAAATTACAAACCATCTGACAAGTGAATATCTATATGTGAAGTGATTTTCTTCACACCAAAATTTTTAAAAAGCATCTTGCTCTGTCATTTCTTATGATTGTTATAAGGTGTTACAAATATTACATGCATTTATATATGTGTGTAAAGTTGTTTATATATCCGTAAATCAATATGTAGATGTAAGTAAAGCTCTTGGTAACGAGTTGACATTTTTCTTTGCAAGACTATGCAATTCGAAGATGATGATCTTGGCCCACCACCTCCTCCCAACCCTTTCAGCCATCTCACAGAAGGAGAACTTGAAGAGTATAAGAAGACAATCGAACGTAAACAGCAAGGCCTGGAAGGTTAGTTTTAAATTAGGCCTAGAATAACTATACTGTTAACAATGAAGCACCTTTAGTTGGATGGCAGTCAGTGTTTTTTGAAATATTTATTTGACAATCGATTGTTCTTTCATCTCTCCCAGTCCTGAGTATAGATGAGGCTGAACTTTAAAGAGCTGCCACGGACCATATATGTTAACATCTAGTAAAAACTGTTTTCCCCGCTCAGAAAATAATCTAGTTAGTAATAAAAAGTCTAAAGTAAAGTGAAATCCCCAGATGAATAAAGAATTTCTACTAAAGTAAATGTAGATATGTTAATTTATTTGATCATTTCAGAGATTGTGACTTTTTAAAACTTTTAACTTTGATATAATTATAGATTTTCAGGTATGTGACTTTAATGCTTTATAAAATCTCTATTGTTCCTAGGTATTCAACAATATTATAATTTCAAAATCAAAATACAAAGCAAACTGTTAGGATTTTGATGTGACTTTTCTTAAGCACACAGGTGCTCTAGGTTGAGTTCTGATTTCAGAATCCTTAAGTAAGGATTATATTTTAGAATTGCTAATGAAAACACCCAGCTAGAATACAAGGTCCCATTTCCTCAGGAATAAGAGATTCTTGGGTAGATAAACTTCAAACAGTACATGAGCAGTCTTAAAAATATATGCTTAATTGTGTATAATTGGGGAGAGGGGTTTAAGGTGGGGGACAAGAAGTCTGTGAGCTCAAAAGAGGGTTTGAGCCTATGGTTTAGAGATCTACAATATACAGTTAAAATTTCACCCAAAGCAAAACAGAACCAGTAGTTAAAGAATTTTTGTCCATGGTAAGTATCAAGTAGGAAAAACTAAAGAACAGTTTTATCATTGTTTAGTATCTTTGTCACAAAAGGGAGTCATCCTGACCCATTAATGAAATTATAGTAAGTTCTCTAAGCGGTATGACTGAATTTGTTTGTTCTAATATAACAATGAGAACTTTTTCTGTTTCTGTATTTTATAAAATGTCCCTCTTTAATCTCTTATTTTTTGAAAGCCTAAAGATGCCAGGTAACAAATATTTACACTCTAGAGCCATCACCTTTATAACTTTATGGTTTCTTCCACATTCATTATGACTTTCTGAATTGGCTCACTAATATTGCTCTGACAGGAATCACTAACTGGATATTGTTCAAAAATTCAGTGAAGCATTCTGCCTCATTAAAGTAACATCATTGGTGAGGCCTCATAATTATTTGCATCTAGCTGCTTCAGTATATTTTAGTTTCCTAACACCCTAGAAAAGGCTAATTGCATACGTATTATTTGCCTGGGCTACCAGTAGCCATGCTTCCTTGGTAAGCATGTATGTAAAATGACTATTCAAAGCCAGAAATTCTAACACATTAACTTCCTCCTAACGCACAATTATTGAGGTATGGAGTAACCGTTAGCATGCGCAGCTCATTGCTGAAGACTTTCTCATCTCTGTGTATGCACTAACCCCTGAAATCTTATGCTTCTTTGTTTTGCATGGCTTTTAACTAAACTCTTATCCGACAGATGCTGAGCAGGAATTACTCTCAGATGACGCTTCATGTGTTTCACAAATTCAGTCTCAAACTCAGTCACCGCAAAATATCCCTGAAAAATTAGAAGGTATTCAATGTAATTTCCCATAGCATTCACTGAGTTAATCTAAAAAGTTTCCTCTTTCATTTAAGTCTCTGTAAGGAAGTTGAGCACCTGATTGCAGTAAGTTTGCCATTGATTTTACTTAAAGCTCCCAATTATTTTACATTTTTAGTAAGTGGGATGCTACTTTTTTGTTCAGCATTTATATTGATTTACCTTATTTTGCATTTTGGTAACTCATAATTCTTAAGAATTTGTGAAATTAAAATTGGTTTATCATATGTCTTCCAATCAGAAACATGAAACCTTTTCAGTTTTGATTCCCAAACAACCCCAAAATTAAAAAATATATGTGTGTTGTCTTCCTCATTTATATTGACTTGATTTATAGTGAAACTGTGAAGGCATCAGACTGGACTTAACTAGCCTTCATTTTTGGTCTAACAACTTTCCCCTTTATACTATGTAAGAAAATTTTCCTCATGTTGGTAGATCTAACCAGTGTAGTCCGTTAAAATAATGATCTATCTTTATTGGAGTTAAATAATGCCTTAGTACATTACTAAAACATTTCAGTTTTGCAAAGATGTTAACTATATAAAATAACCAAAAACCCTCCCCTTTTGTAGAAAACCATGAGCTATTTTCTAAGAGCTTCATCTCCATGGAAGCGCCTGTCATGGTAGTGAACGGCAAGGATGACATGCATGATGTTGAGGATGAGCTTGCTAAGCAAGTGAGCAGGTTAACCACAAGCACGACCATAGACAACATCGAGATTACCATTAAGTCTCCTGAGAAAATTGAAGAAATTCTGTCACCCGAAGGCTCGCCTTCAAAATCACCATCCAAGAAAAAGAAGAAATTCCGCACTCCTTCTTTTCTGAAAAAGAACAAAAAAAAGGAGAAAGTGGAAGCCTAAAAGAAGTCTTTTTATAATTATTATTATTACAATGTGACGTTGCACATTTAAGTTGATCGTTAATATGCAGTGGTAGATCAGATTGGGGGTGTGTAGCAAACTGGACTCTGAGAACTGGAAAGGGGTTTTACTAAAAGAAAAACATATTATGAAGAAAAGCTTTCAAATTCATCTCTCGTTTTATATGTCAAAAAAGGCTTTGAATTTTTTAAAAATTGCTAGTTTTGATTAGCTCTACCTTTATGAAATGTTATAATTCACCACAAACAGATATCTGTCTGAATTACTTCAGGCCCTCTCTATATCTGTTGGAAAGAAATTACCAGTGAACAAGGGAGAGAATTTTTGTTTCTCTACACCTGCTTTACCTGGTAATCAGATTATAATTTTTTATCATTGATTATCAACTGTACCTTTTTGGTTCCCATTGTTTCAATGGGCATTAATAGAATGCTTTAAAAAGCTTCTAAGATAAGAATCTATAGCATTAGTATACACTGGCACATAATTTTTTAAAAATATATATATAATAAAAGATTCATTTGGAATTTTATTCATAGTATAAAATTTCCTCACCTGAAGTAACTTTGTTTGCCAAAAAAAAGGTCATTTAGAAAATATAATTTTTGAGAACGTCCTTTTTTATTCATTTAGAAAGCCCCTTATTTTTCAACAAAGGGGATTTTGTACACTTAACATCAGTTATTTAGTTTAACTCTGGAAAAAACGATTTTTGTATGTTCAGATGTTTGTATACCATTCAGTATAAAAATGTCATAAGCAAATTAGCCAGTCATTTAATAACAGCAGATTTGAGGCTGCTTGGTACTAAATATACTCAAATATAACTCAAGAATCCAGGGACTTGGTATCAAACAGAATTAGAGGATTTAAAAGTATAACTAGATTCATATTTGAATCTTATAATGTATTTTTCTCTTAGTATTGCTAATGAATGAAGAAGCTCTCGTATGTTAATCAAATGAAAAGGAAAAGAATGAGAAAGTGAAGAATGGTGGGAACAAAAGAGGTATTGTGAATAGAAGAATTCTAGTTTGATAATGACTCATAATCATGATAGGATTTGAAGTGTAATTTATTCTAAACCAGTCCCAAATTTCTAAAATTCTGCTTCTCTACCAAAATCATTGTATTTCTTGTTGGTAGTTCAGTTATAAAGGGTCAAATCCTTGCAACTGATGTATCGTTAGAAGGCAGCACTAGGAAAAGTCAGTAGGTCTAACTTCCCTCCCCTAGTGAGAAAACTACCACTTCTTAATTTTCACAAAAATTTTTATCTTTTCAGTTAACTTTCTTTCTAATGTAAATACAAATTTAAACCTAGGATTAATATAGTTTTTCCCCCTTCACTCAAGTGATGTCACAAATCATTGTAAAATGAATGATCCAAAGTGATCAGTGGATAAAAATAATCCAAAGTGTTTCTGGAGGATGAGTTGGCATGAAAACATTACATTGATAACTGTGTGTTCTAGGCTGGTTCTGTTTGTTTGTGTATGATGATGCGGTTGAAACAGAGCTGGAAATTTCATTCTAAATCTCACCAACTACTGGAATCAGTGTTTTAATCTCTTAGTGCATACTTTCAGTTTAACTCTGTATTTGAGGGGTTTTTTATGTTCTACATCATTTATGTTGTATTACAATGTATGTAGAAACAGTAACCTGTGAACTATGCTTTTCCATAACTTTTTAAATATATATATATATCTTAAATGAATGCAGTGTGCATTAATATTTTTTAAACTACAACAGTGAACTATTTGCACCTTTTGCTAATGCCTCTATTTACTTGCTTTGGCATAAAGAATGAGCCAATGAATTTCTGTGTCCTGTGGAAAATGTATAAATGATATCTGATATTGCTCTTAGATGTAATGCTAATTAATGTGAAATCACAAATAAACAGTATTTTAAATAGATGGATTTGGTATCATGAGCTTTCAATTCGGGGTGATTACTTAGCCTGAATTACTTTGTGGACTGAGTTGTATACTGCAGTGAGATTTTAAATAAGATTGGTGCTTCTGAATATGGGATGTCCTGGTAAATTTATTTTCAGATTAGTTTAAAATTAACTATATAAAACCCTTCTTGTTTTAGCTCATATTGAAAGACAAGTGACCTATTTTTTGCCTTGATAGGGTATGGTGACCTTAACTATATCTCTGAAATCTAAAGATCTTTGAAGGATTGAGGATTCTCAGTCTTAATTTTGCTCTTCTGATCTATAGATGTAGAAAAAATATTATAGAATACATGCTGAGTTTATATACATTACCCTTCTCTTTGATTTTTATGTAACAATCAAGAAAATAGCAGAAAGAATAGGAAATAGGTTACAATTCACCACATAAGAAATTGTTTTTTTAATTCCAGCTCTTGTTCAGTTATAGATGTATTGACAATACGACGGGGGGTTTTTTTCCTTCTTAAATAGCATAATCCACCCTATGAATTTTCCAACTAAATCCCTCACATGAATGATTTCTTATGATTGTTTTTCAACTTTCTTTTAAAAATAGAGTGCAAGAGGGAAAATCATGTGAATTGAGGGTTCTGGTTAATTGAAGTTTTTACTATAATTACCCATTATAAAAATGAAGAGTATGGGCAGAGAAGAATAGATTCATAGTTCTTTGGCATATTTAATTATTACCTTGGCTTGTAAATAGCCCTGTGGTGAAAAATTGCTGTTTTAGAAAGATGCTTATTTTAAAAGTCCCTTCCGTAAAGCAACAAAGAATTGTCTTCAGTACTCACTTGAGAGTCAACAGCATGAAGGGAGATATTGCTTTCATGCCTTTTACTCTATTGATTATTATTTCCATTCAGCATGGAATAAATAGAACCGAATGGATCAAATTGTAACCGCATTGGTTTCTCTTAACCTTAGCTCTTTTTTTCCTGACATAGAAAACACAAAATTGCAATTAATCTTGACTGGAACGGGTTTTTTAAAAGTCGTCTTTGTGGCCACTAGAGGGTGCAATAGACCTAACAATCCAGTGTGTTTCTGGTCCTTCCCTTTTATTAGCCTGCAGACACCACCATGTTTATTGTGAAATACCTAGAACTTGGAATAGAAGACATTTCCTTCATTGCTTATCATTTCCCTCACTTGACTGTTTTCAACTTTGTTGTCCCATTTCACCAATACCACCAGTAGGGACTCTGTAGTCTAGGAAAACAATGGGTATTTTTGAGGTGTAGTTTCAGAAAGAAGCCATGGTAGAAAATGACTCCGGGGAGTTTTTATGCCTTTGAATGGCAATATAATGCCTATTTTAAAATATTTGGCATTTTTTGACTGAGGTGATAATTGATAACATCTATCATTTGTTGATAAGTGCTTTTCATCCTCATTAGCCTTCAACATCTCAACAAAGTAGATGGTGTTCCTATTTTGTAGATAATGAGACCAGGACTTGTTAAAAAACAAAAACAATGATGTGCAAGTATTTCACCAATGGAGATGCCTGTTTCTAAAATAACTGGTGCCATTTGTGTGCCAGACCCTATGCGGCTCCAGTGTACATTTTTGTGGGATTTTTTTAGGAAGAGTCAGCCTCCTTAGTTAGGACTGTAAGTCCAACTATGGTGACTTCATGTGTTGATATAAGCTATGGGATATCCATTGGGGATAAAACATTAACCTTTGATTTGGAAGACACTTTTTGTTTTTCGGCAAATTGCCCCAAGAATGAAGACATTAATGAATCCCTAGAGAGTGGGAATGACCAGGGTGAGGTCATCTTTCAGGATGAGGACCAGCTCTTGAATTTACTATGACACCAGAAGGCAGGGCACCTATACCTTTCCTCTCTCTTTGATTTCCAATGTTGCAGGGAGGGAGAGGTATTCTAAGGTAAGCGTTATTTTAAAAATTTGAAGAGGCCGAAGCTGGTTTGGCTCAGTGGATAGAGCGTCGGTTTACGGACAGAAAGGTCCCAGGTTTGATTCCGGTCAAGGGTATGTACATTGGTTGCGGGCACATCCCCGGTGGGGGGTGTGCAAGAGGCAGCTGGTCAATGTTTCTCTCATCGATGTTTCTAGCTCTCTATCACTCTCCCATCCTCACAGTAAAAAATCAATAAAATATATTTTAAAAATAAAAACTTGAAAAGACTGTTTAGTTAGTATAAGTAGTTTTAAAGAGAAATATACTGTATCTACTTACACCTTTATTTGAGTAACTATACTTGGAAACAGTCTTTCTTGGAGAAAAACCTTGTGTACATGCTGGAGATGAAACCAAGGATAAGCCTTTGAGAACTTTTCATAGAAAAAAATAACTTGTGAATTCAGTGGTTTTCAAAGATATTTTATTTCTGATCTGACCATTAGGGGGCAATCTTGGGTCTAAATTTAGTTTTAGTTCATTGAAAGAACTTCCTTCAAATATCTGAGTTTGGCTTGAGAACTTCATTCTGATCATGCATTGCTATACACAGTATAAAGTTGAGGAAAGTTTATAGAGGCCAAATTACTTCGTTCATTCCTTAGTTATCTCGTTATGACTTAGGAGAAATCTTCTTTCCAGGAAAGTTGTGTTTGCCTAAACCAATGGTCAGCAAACTGTGGCTCGTGAGCCACATGCAGCTCTTTGGCCCCTTGAGTTTTTAGCAAAGGCCAGCTTAGGAGTATCCTAATTAATTTGATAACAATGTACCTACTTATATAGTTTAAGTTTTAAAAATTTGGCTCTCAAAAGAAATTTCAGTCCGTTGTACTGTTGATATTTGTCTGTTGACTAATGAGTTTGCCGACCTCTGGCCTAAACCATACAGCTCAGAGGCATGCACCAGGGTTCAAGCAAAGGTCTTCAGGTTGCATTCCCTGCTTTTCTACTATCACAACTTAGGAATAGATCAATATAGTAAATAAATAGATCAATATACTTTTCTGAAGTTTCCTGCAAATTAATGCTCAGAATTTTATTATGGGAATAATTAGACATATGGCAGGACCAAGCCTGA